CTCCTGTCTGGAGAGTCACTGTGGCCTTATGTGCTGCAGGGTACAAGACAGACCCAGAATTTGAAGACCTGGGGATGGATAGTTCAGGGGCGAATATGTATTCTCATATACCTGGTTTTGTTCTCCCCAAGATAGTAGTACACTGGAACTCCCCAAAAAGAAACAGATTAATTATGAAGTCTCTGCCATTTCCTTTTGTGGCCTAAATAAATAGGAGCAAGGCAGAATGCAGAGAGGAGTGGGCCATGAACGTGTCTCTGCCTTGTGGTAAAAGGTTCAAAGCGGGACTTCCTGAGTCACCAAGCATAGGCTAGCATCATTGCAGACAATTGCACCAGATATTTTCCTTCATTAACTCATTCAGCACTGTCTTAAACTGTTTTTTCTTCCCTCCCTTCCTTGTGAACTAATGGTGTCAAAAGGCTTTCTTGACCCACACTTGATTGATTGGGACATTTGAAGGTTTTTACCTTCCAAAGTGTACTCATTGTCAGTTTATATCCTTTTATTCTTCTGCCTTTATTGTCTTTTAGTGTAAATGTGTAGTCTATTTCATGTTTTCTTAAAAGGCATTCTTTAAAAAAAAAAAAAAGGAAACACTGAGACAAGAAAACCTATACCAAGTGTTTTGAAATGCAAGGTCCTTCTCTGCCTTAGATAACCTGTTACAGTTACGTACTCCCTCAATCAGTGTGGTGGTAGTTGAAGCAGAAAGTTATTTTTCCTTGTTATGACTGGAAGGGTATCAAATTAACTATCCTTAGCTGCTGTTGTGAGTGGCTGTGCTCCAGCCACTGGGCTGCCCTTCCCAGCCACTTGTGCAGATGGTCGTGCACTTGTGCAGCTGCTGGTGGCCGGGGAGCAGGGGACAGCAGGGTGACAAGATGGCAGCTCATGTGCATAACGGTTTCAGATAAGAGGCTTCAATGGCCCGTTATCTTCACTCTCTCCCACTGTTAAAACTTCTTCAGAGTACAGCAGTCAAAATGTAACCTGATACAAGCTGGAGAAATAACAGAAAAAACAGCTACATCTTACAGCAGATGGATCATTTCTGCCTTGGGATGGGAGGTTTTGGGGAATGAAAAGGTTGGCCTCTCTGGTCTCTGGATCCCTTGTGAGCAGTGAAGTTCAAACAGACTTTGCCTTGACTCCTCTCTTTGAATATCAGAAACATGCAAGCGGCATGAGGCCAGTATAAATAAATCACACCTGACTCTGTAAGTGCCTCTTTGTGCTTTTACAAAGCAGGGTAATATAAACAGGCAACGTTACAAGCTGAATGGACAGTATTTCCAACATAAATGTTTCCTGACCTTATGAGTCCCCTCTGGGGAAGTAGCAGGGAGAGCGTTAAAAGAGGCAGAGAGAAACAGGGAGAAGGCCTGTGAATTCCCACCTCCTGCTGGGAAGCACAGTGGAAAGCTGGTATTACTCAATCTCCAGAAAAATTCACTGAAGATTCTGGTTTCTTTTTGAAAGGAATATAGACAACCTGACAAGTTGATATAATCTCTTAATTCCCAAAGGAAGTCTTGCCTCTTAGTGTAGTGGTAACTGGGATGAGAATTGCAGTTAATCTTTATACAATATTGTTTCAGAAATACGTGTGCAACATATAACCAGCTCTGCTTTGAGCAAGGTCAAGTTAGGTTGATGAAAAGCTCTTTCATTTTGGAATCAAAAAACTACATTTGATGATGTTTCAGGGCACTGGACGTGATTTTGTGGAACCATTCAAGTGTTTCAGGGACAGCTTTGTCACTTTGCCACCAATTTACAGGAAGGCCGCAACAGATTAAAATTGTTTGTCATCTCTACCCGATGAGGGCATTACATATTGCCTGCCTATTCTTCTCTGGTACAACCTGGACCCTCTCTGAAGCATCTCACTATCTTCCTAATGAAGACTTCTTGAAATGCCATGCAGCAGGTTGACCTCAGTATATTCCAGAAGATGTCACTTGCAGTTGAGGGACCAGAGGTGAAGTACTATAACAAATACAAGTCTTACTAGACTCAGTTTATGCCATTAACTCATGAACTGCTGATCAATTTTTTTAAATGTGGAAATGATGAACCAAGCTCTTGCAAAGCTGTCTCTTCCACCTACTGAAACGCTCCTTAGAGCAATGCAATGGTAGGGAGAGAGGAACAAAAATATTCGGTTTGAGCATAGCAACTATGAGTCTCAGACTTGATCAACTGACCGCTGCTATCTTTGGATAAGTCCACCTCTCAGAGGAGGTCTGCTGAAGTAAAGCATTTCCTCCTCAAGGATTAAGCAGATTTTAAAATGAATATGTGCATCCAGTGATTGTTGATATACCCCCAAAGGGAAGCTAGGAAATTCAGCTTAGGCTACTGGCTCTTGTAAACTAAACTGTTTAATTATCACGTTAAACTAGTATATATACCCTGGGTTTCCTTAGGAGAGTCTTATTGTGGGGGTAATCTGTGAAAACTACTGTAGCATAATGCTTGTAAAGTTTTCTAGGGAGAAAAAAAAATGCTGTTTAAATCTCACCTTTAACCAATTTCTTAAGGAATCAGCTTTATTCTGGCCTCACAGTGCCACAGAGCATGACCTAGGAACTTCCTTCCTTTGAATTCTTAGATCTGACCTGTTTGAGAAGAGGCCCCTATCCCACCACTGGAAATACACATCTGCTCTGTTCAGTTGAATTCTTCATAGAAAGTGTGGAGATCATCCTAGCTAGAACCAGCATTGTATTTCTGCTTCAGGCAGGTAGCCCCCAAAGCACACAACTGCTAAATTCAAAAAGTGTTGTGTAAGCATCAAAATCCAAGCTTTTGAAGACTGGTAGTCTTGGAATGGAACAGTTCTTTCACTGAAATCTTCTGCCGCATGCCATTCTCATAGTGACCCAGTTCTGCATGTTGGTCATTCAGAGGTGGCCAATGTTTTGTTTCTGGCCTTGGATAAATCCAGTCTGTCAGGAGTGGCTCGGGGATGCCTACGGAGATAATTTATGTCTGTTTTGGTGTCCAAATTATGGAGGACAGTCCTTGTTTCCCAGTATGGACAACAGGCAGCTGAGAAATTTCTATCACAATGGATATGTGGACATTAGCATAACAAAGAATAGGAAAAGGTATCCTGTGCTTATCTGAATTTTTTTCTTTCTTTTAGTATTAATATCCATAGTCTGGTCTACCAGAGAGAAATGGATCATCCAGACTAAGTATGTGAAAACTGGCACAAGAGAATATACCGTGCTTTGCAGTAAGAGAAGTTTGTTGTGTACTTTCTCAATTTATGCTTGATACAATCTGTAGTTAGGAAAGTGTATTAGAATCACCTCTTGCGTTGGGAGTGCTCAGCGGAGAGGCAGAGCTGGGAAGCGAGGCTTTCCCTGGCTGCTGACTGATAGATCTGGTTCTGCCCCAGATTGTGAGCTGGCAGAAGTAGCTATTGTAGCAGATCTGTGGATCTTAAAGAAGGAACTTTTCCGGTAAGTATGAGTAAGTGTTCCTATTTTGTTCTGACTAGCTTGTATTTTGGTACTTTTTAAGTTAGACCTGTTAAAGCAGCACAGAAGAAAAACAAAACAACCCAACCCAAAACAGCAGAATGAAAAGGAAATAAACGTAAGCGTCACTTACTGCAGTCTCTCAACTGGTTCATAACAAGGCATGCTGTAGATCCCTTAAATGTTTTGAAGAATTGCAACTTCTAGCCACCAGGTTAAACTAGTAGTACTCCACAGTACTGTTCTCATGCGGGATCTTTCAGGGTCCCTTGCTAAGAAGTATGAGCACATGGCGATCTTGCAGTGAGATAAATGTGTGGTCATATTTCTTCTTCTGGTATTAATGAAGAGCTTGTTTTTATTGCCTGGATAACTGCTTTCCATGCTGTTTTTTTGTTTACAGGTCAGTATTGCTTGCCCAGAAAGGATGGAGCCAATCACAAAGGTGTCTCACATTCCACCAAGTCGATGGGCTCTAGTGTGTAGTTTATGCAAACTGAAAACTGGTGCTTGCATTCAGGTATGTACTTGTCCTGTGGTAACTCTTCAGTCTGTGTGAGAAGGGCAATTTCGTGTTTGTATTTTGTTCTTCTAGTGTTCAGGGATGCTTTACTGTGCAGATGATCGTTGGATACTTCTTCGTAGCTGTTTGCTATCAAATTAGTTCACTAGCAGAGATTTAAGAGTTAGTCTGAGTTGCCTTCTTTTGACTAAGGCTGAGATGTGTAAGGACTGCTACTATGCGGGTCAGATATTGGTAGAAAGGTCCTTCTGCTGAACACTGCTTATAAATGAGAAAATACTAAATTGATTGATACCACCTTCAAAGAGATCAACAGATATTTTCAAGAGTGCTTAGAAAATATGGTTTTGTAGGGATGGACATTCATGTAGTTAAGATAATTCTTTTTTTTTCCGCTTTGTTGCTACTCTTAACGATTGAGGTTTTTTGTTTTATTTTGTCTGTAGTGCTCCGTGAAAAGCTGCATCACTGCCTTTCATGTCACCTGTGCCTTTGAGCATAGTTTAGAGATGAAGACTATCCTGGATGATGGGGATGAGGTCAAGTTCAAGTCGTATTGTCTAAAGCACAGCAAGAACAAACAGAATTCGTTGCCTGATGTTGACGAGCACCCCAAGGGTGTGTCAGACCAGAAGCAAACAGAGAGTGAGAAAACCAGTTTGCGAGCCCAGAAACTCCGGGAGCTGGAAGAAGAGTTTTACTCGCTAGTTAAAGTGGAGGATGTTGCTGCAGAACTGGGCCTTCCTAAACTTGCTGTAGACTTCATCTACAATTACTGGAAATTAAAGCGAAAAAGTAACTTTAACAAACCATTGTTTCCTCCCAAGGAGGATGAAGAAAATGGCTTGGTGCAGCCAAAAGAAGATAGCATTCATACTCGCATGAGGATGTTCATGCATTTGAGGCAGGATCTAGAGAGGGTAAGAATTTAACTGGTAAAGTTTTGGAAAACTATTTGCAGATGAGCGAGTTCTTTGTTTGTGGATGAAAGTGGGAATGTGGGAAACACGGGGAGATTATTTTAAAAATAACTAAAAAAAAAATTTAAAAAAATAAGGCCTTTAGCTCCAAGCTTTTGATATGCTGCATTGCCTGCTGCAGAGACTTTCAGGAACTGTCCCTTCTCAGTCCAGTGAGACATCCAGTGCAAAAGGAGTGTCTCCCTGACTTGCTTAAACGTTATTCCTTTATGCATTTTGAGATGCATGTTTTTATGCACAATGGACATATTTGCTAATTGACTCTTTGATTTCAGCTTCAATTGAGTAAATATGAAAAATAGAGTAAATTTATTTGAATCGGCTGTAGTAGTTGCTAGTGATACAGATTCAATAACAAAAAAATGTTACTTTTATTACGTGAAAGTAAGTGCTAACAGTGAAGGAATGGGGCAGGCTTAACAAATTCTTATCTCCCACCTTCTGCCTTGGGATGGATGGACTCTGGATTTGTACTTAAAAAGGCATTTTGTAGTGGTTACAATAGAATGGTAAGCATTAGCCACTTCTAGGTTTGGAAAAAGCAGTTTGCTTAGGTAAAGCAGTAAGTATTCTTTGAGTGTGTATTAAGCTTTTGGAGAATCCTAAAAGTATATTAAAGCAGAGCTTCTCACCCTCATAATTTGAAGACAAGTAGGTGAAGTCGTAGATGGTTAACTTCCATGGCGACTTTTTTGCCTCCACACACATAGAAGAAGAATGATGGTCTGTACTCATACCACTTCCGGTGACGCCTGATTCAGGAGTCATACCTCACCATCATGCTGGTGTCAGCTAGTCCCATGTAGCGGGCAGGCTGAATCGCTTGTTGCTCTCTTGACCTAGATGCTTTCACTGCGTGTAGCTGCCTTAGGTGGTATGGTTGGTTAGCAGTCTGAAAATAACCCACTGAGTCTATCACTGCTTGTGGCTTTACTGAGAAGGAGGCAAAGGAAATTATCCTTTTATCAGTAGCTACCTGGGCTCTTCTCAGATTGCTGGCTAGCTGGTAGTTTGAAAAGATGGAGTCCTTCAACAGAATTCAGAGCAGGAATTTATCAGGAAGACATACAAAGTACCTTTTTCAGGCAGCTGATGGGGAAAGACACCAGGCTTGTCACCACTCAGAGGCTGCCATTAGGTTGGTCTGTTGGCTAGTGAGCACCTGCAGTTTTGAAGTGTGTGGAGACAGGTAGTGAATGTAAAAAAGGTAACAAAATAAAGTAGATGTCCTAAATGTGATATGGAAACATTGGAGAGGAGAGGGGAAGGAAAAGCAGAAGAGAGAAAATAGTGTTGTAAGAAAAGGGAAAACAGCATTGGGGAGAGAACAACATGAAAATACAAGGAGATGCGTGTTGGAGTCGAGATTTGTGCTCGTCGGTGTAACTGTTGTCTTGAATCTAGTCATAATCAATCTTGGATCTCCTTTTCCGGGACCAAGTTGGATATGGATCCTTATTAAAAAGAAAAGGAATGTAAAAATCCGTAACATGCTTTGAGTGGAGGGTTGGGATTTTGGTGTTTGGGGTTTTTTTTCTTTCAAGAGACCATTTTGAGCTTTTTGTTTGAGTGGTTTGCATCAAATTTTGATTAAATTGATGTACTTACTCTGAGTGGAGGTAATTCCTAGTTTGAAGCCTCTGTCTCAAAGTTTCTGAACTTCCTTGTGTCACAAGGTTTTCTACTCTGTTATGTCTTGGGATGAATATAAATTTGGGAATCTTAAAATTTCTTTTCTGGGGAGAGGGATTCCAGTTCTGAACAGATGGAGTTGAGTGCTGGGGGAAGTATGTTTGGCAACTATCTTTCACCCAGCCCCTACGCTGTTTCTGTGTTCTGTGCTTGAACACTTCCAGGGAGTGGGGGCATCCACAACCTCTCTGGGCAACCTGTTGCAGTGCCTCACCAACCTCACTGTAAAAAATGTCTTTTTTATGCCCAACCTAAACCTACCCTCTTTAAATTTAAAACCGGTGTCCCTATAGGTGTCACACTATAGGTGACAGGATCCCTCTCCAGATTTCCTGTAGGCCCTCTTCAGGTACTGGAAGGCTGCTATAAGAGAAGGCTGCTTTCCCCAGAGCCTTCTCTTCTTCAGGCTGAACAACCCCAACTCTCTCACTGTGTCTTCGTAGGAGAGGTGCTCCGGCCCTCTGACCATCTTTGTGGCCCTCCTCTGGACCTGCTCCAACAGGTCCATGTCCTTCTTGTGTTGGGGACCCCAGAGCTGAATGCAATACCGCAGGTCAGGACTCACGAGAGTGGAGTAGAGGGGCAGGATCACCTCTCTTGACCTGTTGGCCACCCTTCTTTTTATGGAGCACAGGATATGGTTGGCTTTCTGGGCCGTGAGCACATGTCCAATTCTTCATCCGCCAGTACCCCCAAGCCCTTCTCTGTAGGGCTGCTCTCAATCCATTCATTTCCCAGTCCATATTGATACTGGGCATTGCCCTGACCCATGTGCAGGACCTTGCACTTGGCCTTGTTGAACCTCATGAGTCAATGCAATAGAGTTGGAAAATAAACTGCTAAATGGGTCAGCCAAAATGTGTCCATTGCATAAGAAGCCAGAGTGTTCTTTTAGAGGTGATCTACATGTTAGTTTTGGTCCAAACAGGCTGGGTCTCTCAGGTAGCTTTGTGTAAAGAGTATTACTTTTTAATGTTGCAGTAATTTTAGGGGAAACAAACATAGTTTAGCTGTTAAAAACTCTCTCAGGTAGCTTTGTGTAAATAGTATTACTTTTTAATGTTGCAGTAATTTCAGGGGAAACAAACATAGTTTAGCTGTTAAAAATCATTCTCTGAAACATTTTGCAGGCAGAGTTACTGAATGCCATCTTTGCTTCCGTCTTTACTGCTAAGGCCAGCCTTCAAGAATCCCAGACCCTGGAGATAGGAGAGAAAGGCTAGAGAAAGGAAGACTTTCTCTTTGTTGAGGAGCATTGGGTTAGAGAACATTTAGGCAAACTTGACATCCACAAATCCATGGGCCCTGATGGGATGCACCCATGAGTGCTCAGGGAGCTGGCAGATGTTATTGCTAGGCCACTCTCAATCATCTTTGAAAGGTTGTGGAGAACAGGAGAGGTGCCTGAGGACTGGAGGAACGCCAATGTTGCTCCGGTCTTCAAAAAGGGCAGGAAGGAGGACCCAGGAAACTATAAGCCAGTCAGCCTCACCTCCATCTGTAGAAAGGTGATAAAACAACTCATTCTGGGGGTTATCAATAAGCATGTGGAGGAGAAGGTTATTGGGAGTGGTCAACATGGATTCACCAGGGGGAAATCATGCCTGCCCAACCTGACAGCCTTCTATGATGGCATGACTGGCTGGGTAGATGAAGGGAGAGCAGTGAATGTTGTCTACCTTGACTTCAGCTAGGCTTTTGACATCCTCATAAGCAAGCTTAGGAAGTGTTGGTTGGATGAGTGGTCAGTGAGGTGGGTTGAGAACTGGCTGAATGGCAGAGCCCAGAGGGTTGTGATAAGCAGTGTACAGTCTAGTTGGAGGCCTGTAGCTAGTGGTGTGCCTCAAGGGTCAGTGCTTGGTCGGGTCTAATTCAACATACTCATCAGTGACCTGGATGAGGGGACAGAGTGTACCCTCAGCAAATTTGCTGACCTTACGAAACTGGGAGGGGTGGCTGACGCACCAGAAGGCTGCGCTGCCA